CTTGTTTACAGGAGATTTATTTTTGTTGCAAAACTAATAATCTGTTTCTCATTTGGGATCACGTCATGTTGATGCTCTTCACCGGTGTGTCTTTGGGACTACTGTTACTGAAAATGTTCTATATTTTCTGTATGCAAATAAAAAGGCGTATCTGCATTTGCAAAACAATTGCCTGGTTTTCTTGACAGTTTGAAACACTCTACGTCATCAAATCAACAGCATCCTTTAAACATTTGCTAATGTACATTTCTGTGGCACACATAAATATGATTTCAAAAACTAAGTGGATCATTTAGGATTCAAAATTTTTGTTTTAGCTTTTCCAGACATGGGTTATTCCTTAGCCTTGTTTAATACTTTTTGGAAAGCTTCCTTGTTGTATCTCTCAGTAGAGCAGAGGCCACGCTGTGGTGGTTTGTTCAAGTAAATCAACCTCGAGATTTGCTGGTGAAAAAGAAAAATGACTGCACCAAGCTTTGGTCACTTAGGGAGAAAAAGGCACATTTCTTCACTGATGTAAAAGTGAACAAAAGCTGCAAAACAAATGCAGACATTGACAAAAAAAACCAAAAAACCCTGCATATGTACATTAAAGAAATAAAGAGATGCAACATGAGCAGGAAGAGTCACAAACAGAGACAAAATATCAGACATGTACACAGGTGGAGAGACAAAGCATTACATGCATGGTTTGTAGTTTGTGTCTCTGTGCTCAGAGGCCTCTTTCATCCATGTGAACCATATGTGCTGTTAAATTACCAAAGCTAGGATTAAAAAAAAATCAGTACACTTAAAATATCTTTGATGATTATTCTGTACCTAATCTCACAGCAAGAAGGTCTGGGCTTTGAATCCAAGCCTATCTATGTGCAGCAGCTTGCATGTTCTCCACTTGTCAGTTCTCTCAGGTACTCTGGCTTCCTCCCATAGTACAAAGACATGCAGATGTTTGGATGACTCCCGATTCTAAATTAGCCATAGGTGCGAATGTGAGTGTGATTGACTGTCTTTTTGTGTCAGGATCCCTGGAGACCTTTTTGGGGTGTACCCCCTCCCCTGCCCTGCAACCCTGAATTGGATGGATTAACCTATATATACACAACACTATGAACATAATATTTCTATACCTGTCATTTCTGAGTAATAGTATACAACGAGTACATAATTTAATGAATCAATTAACACTTTAAAAAAAGAAAAGAAATTGGAATAAAACAAAAAAATAGAATGCAAAAAAACATATTATTGCAAATTATGAGTATAAAGATTTTTATACTCATCATTTTATTATTATTTTTATTAAATATATATTTAATGTTATGTATGGCAATCATTTTATGATACAAAAAATGTTGTTTTCAAAAATAAAATATTACGTCAAACACTTTTTTTTTTTATCGAGGAACCGCGTGGACTTCAGTGACGTGGCGCGTTTTGGTCACCTGACTATAGTGACGTGTAACTGAGCATGTAAGCAGGAAGAGCCTGACCAAGTTTCAAGATGCTAGCCGTAAGTAAGAGCACATTTATTTCCTATTTTTTAAAATAATGTCTTAGTGTGGTTAACAGCTAACGTGGGATTGTTTAAGCATTAACCGTCAGTAAAATTATTTAATGAAGCTGAAGAATGTTTCCCAGCTCGGTTGGACATCTGTGGTGCTAATATTGCTAAGTAGTTAAGACGCTAACATTTCTGCTCAGCTACCGTTAAAATGATGTTTTTAAAACGGATCAAACGATGAAGTTTTCTACTCGAAAAAAACCCACGACCAGAATGTTCGCTTTAAACCTGTATACGGCAAATTTACGCTAGAGGGCATCTGTTGTGTTGCGGTGTCAGCTAACGATTGCTAAAGTTAGCATCAGCCTGAACAAACATCAGCAAACAAGGTGACAAAACGTGAAATGAAGCTACATCCTGCTAACGTGGCAATGTTTGTGCTGTTTATAATCCGAGCAAACAAAAGTGTGAGTTTTAAACTGTCTCCTGGCGCAGAGAAGCTAAAGTGACCTCACTCCAATCTATATTATCAGCTGCTGTTCTTTAAGCAGCTGGTAAGTATTTGGTTTTTCCAGTTTACAGGTCAAATTCACTTCAGGTTATCCTGCTAACATGTCAAAACAACTTAATAAGATCTTAGTGTTAGGCCTGATCTGTGTTTGAGCTGCCAGCTGTTAGAGTGCAACAATAATGAAGAAATGGCACGTTTTCAATAATAATAACAACTGTTTGATTATTTTCTTGGTACTCTTGTTGGTTCTAACTTGTTAAGTGTCAGCATTTGAAGATTTATTTTTCCGTTTAAGTTAGTAAACTGAATCTCTTGATAATATAGGAATACAAAAATTATTACCCCAACAACAGGAGTGTGTTTGGAGGCATATGAAGTTGTACTGTGAGGACTTGGTGTATTTATTTATGATGTTAAAAGCTCAGAAACAACCTGTTACAGAATTGTGTATTAGTATTACGAAACCTCCAGATTTCTGTTTCAAACAGACTGTTATCAATCTTACTCCTCTGATGATCCCTGACCACAGAGAGACGAGGCTTTTTTTCCACATTGTTTTATGTTGAGGTTTAAGCCTCTTTCTTATTGATCCCTCAGGATACCAACGATGAAGACGTGTCTCTGTTTGATGCTGAGGATGACGCAGGGAAAAGGTCGAAGAAGTCAGGCGTTAAGTACGTTTGCAGATCGCTGAAGGATTTAACATTTTCTCTGCAGAGAAGATAGTTTATACTTCATTAAATGATTTATTTACATTTCAAGGAAAAGCTTTTGCTGTTTGTTGTGCAAGTCACTACTTGATATCAAGATAATAATGGCTAATGGTTTGTGGGGTTTGTTTGGTATGTTTTCACACTTTTACAAGGACTTCACTGATCTGTCTGCTAAGTTATCACTATCATCTGATGTGGGCTAGTTGACTATTAGAGATTATATGTTACAATGACTTTTGCTGTTGTCAGAGACCCATGTTTAAGTTTTACACTGAGCAAAAAAAGATTTTTTAAATGTTGTTATTATTATTTGTTCTTATTAATAATAATGATTATAATTGTTATTAATATGACACAATATTGGTTATTGATCTGTGTGGATACTCCATGTCATATTAAATTAGTTAAAAATGTGTCACCAGGCATCCAGTAGCGGCCTTCTTCCACCTCTTCTTCAGAGTCATTGCCATCATCGTGTACCTGCTCGCTGAGCTCATCAGCGGGAGCTTCATCGCCTGCATGGTCACAATAATCCTTCTGCTCTCATGTGACTTCTGGACAGTAAAGGTGTTTCTCTTATCACTTTAATATCTCCACTGTAGTGATGGAAGGAGTTGTTGTATTGATTATAATTAATGATCTTGGTGGGGCTTTTTTGCTTTTTGTTGTGCATTTCTTAAAGGCAGAACTCAGAGGAAGAGTGGACCAGATGGGATAAAAGTTTTATCAGGAGCTTAAAAGCAAGATTGGAAATCGTCCTAAAAGCTTTCCAACTGTTCTCACTTTTTGGTTATTGATTATTCGTTTTGAATGAATTGTTGGTGCTCGGATGAGATGATGAGCAGTCGTGAGAAAAACATGGTGAAGGTTTTGGTCACAGATTCAACCATCGTGTTTTTTGACAGACAGTTCGGAGCCTTGGAGACCGGATATTCTACAGCCGGTACTGCAGGCATCCAGTCATAATCATGATGAGTTGAGGCAGAGTTTACAGGCCAGTCTGACATTTGTAATGTGCTGTTTTCTGTATTTGATCACTGTAGCTTCACTACCTGCAGTGAGATTTAAAGACCTCTGCTTTCTGGACGTTTGTCATTCACTGGTTCTTGTGGATGTGTTATTGTGTGCTGATGATGTTCACGTTGAATCGGTTTAAATAGTCTCATGGTAGTGAAGTCCACATAAACTAGTCCTTCTAAAAGCAAATCTCACAACAAAACTGCCTCCTTGGAATGAATCTGAATCCCTTACCAACAGAAATGAACGACTGAAGAGCTCTGGGATTAATTTCAGTGGTCACTGGTACAGTGGTTAGCACACTTGCTTGGCAGGTTGCTGGTAGGATTCCAGCTGGAGACGCAAATCCTTTTTGGGGATAAATGGAAATCATCTGGTGGGAAACTGCTAAATCAAGTGTGCGGCGCTATGTGCTGTGGTGACGCCTCGGGGCAAGGGGGCAGTTGAAAGAAGCTTTTAAACTTTTACTGGAATAGAAAAAGTGCATGTAGAAAATCAGGAGCTAGATCTGATAAAAGATCTTTTCTGCAGTATCAAGTATGTGGTGCTTTTTACCACACAGCTGAAGCTGTTGTGACCCTTTAGTGCGTACATGTGTCGGTCAGGGTTGATGTTTTTTCTGTTTGGGCGATCGATTGGCTCATCGAGTGCCTTTTTTTTTTTGTTAGTCTTGTTTAAATCTGCTGTAGAATCTCCTTGGATAATAGCTCTGGTTTTCCTCTGTAAGTCAGATGTGCAACTGGACTCGGTTTCCAGAGTCACACTGTTACACAAAGACTTGTGTAAATAATTAAACCTAGGAAACAGTATTCAGATCCAGCACCTTGTGAATAAGATTTGCCAGAATCTCCATAACAAAGCCATAAATCTCTCCATCTGCAGAACATCACTGGGAGGTTGATGGTTGGTCTGCGGTGGTGGAATCAGGTGGATGACGATGGACGAAGCCACTGGGTGTTTGAGTCGAGGAAGGTGAGATGCATCTCTGCTGAATCTGCTCTGGCTCCGACACGAGGCTTTAGCTAAACATGACCCTGACCTGTTGCTCTGTGTCAGGTTGCTTCGTCCAGATGTTTACTGTCAACAGGTCTTATCGTGTTCGCAGATGTCTAACTGAGATATCCTGTTTCCTTCTTCTTCAGGGTACAGGGAAGCAGCAAGCATCAGATTCAGAGTCCAGGATATTCTGGCTCGGACTGATTGTTTGCCCCGTCCTCTGGGTCATCTTTGTCTTTAGCACCCTGTTTTCATTCAGGATTAAATGGATGGTAAGTTGTTAGATTTTAGTGATTGGACAAATGCTGTTTTTCTTATTATCAACAAATCCCATTAAAACTCAGTTACACCTGTATTTTTCTCACAGCACTGAGAAAATAAAACCTAGCTCCTGGCTGTGTCTCTCAGCTCTAAGCCCACTGAACCCTATTAGTTCTTGGTGCTTTCTTAAGTAAAATTAGACAATAATTACTTGGTAAACATGAGCCAGTGTTTCCCTGCTCTCACCCTGCATCTCAAGCTTGCTTTCAAAGTTTTCCTGCTGCACGAGGGGGGATGCAATTCTGAGTAATATCTCTAAGTTTTAAGGTAACTTAATTGGTTTGTGGAAATTTGTTATAAAAAGAATCACTTATCACTATCAGTTTGCAGCTCACAGACGATGAGACTCGTTGGCTCCTTTGTGGGACTTTTATTTGCATATAGACTGTATATGAAAGATGGGCATAGCCGTCCTGTGGTCTTGGGCTTCACAGTTTGAAGCCTCAGTGTTTTGGTTTTGGCTAGCAGATGGCTAGCAGCTACGTTACCTAAAACCACCTAAGAAAGAAGAAACGGTCCGTAGAGGGTAAAAAAGTTCTCTGTGGAGTTTAAGATGAGAGTCTGTGTGGACGGACTCACTTTGGGAGACACCTCCAAGTGGCCCCAAGAGAAACGTCACTTTTAAACTAAAGGTTTTATCCCTCGAGATTGTTGTTTGGGAGTCAGACACAGGAACACAGTGGACTCCTTCAGCCTGAATGCTTCATGTCTGAAATGCTCACAGTGTGATTTGAACCGTTATGAGGTGATGTGTCAGACATGCACCCAGTGTTTTCCCTGGAGGCTATATGCTCGTTTGAAGTTCACATGACCTGATGCAGTAAGGTCCCAGTTAAGTTTAGAAGTCATAACTTTTAAAAAATGAAAACTAAGATCAAAATCTTTGCAAGGAATCGTCATAGAAAAAGATGGTTCCAGCTGTTGGCCCAGACAACAACTGCAATCATAAACTCCCTGTGACTGTGAGTTACTCCCTTAAAAAGATCAGTGCATCTCTTTATTGTGTATTCAGCATGTTCTCACGTGTTCTGGGAACATACCAGCAGTGAAGAGGATACACGTGGTTCGCCTTCAGCCTTTTCGTGGGATTTATTGATAATAAGGGGAATATGAAATATGACCAGGGTTTATTTCAGAAAACTGTCGTCTTCCTCACAGCCCGTCGTGATCATGGGCGTCGTGCTGCAAGGCGCCAACCTATACGGATACGTGAGGTGCAAAGTGGGAGGGAAGACCAGCTTAAAGAACATGGCTACCAATTATTTTGGACGACAGTTCCTCAAACAGGTGAGTTTTAATAAAACACACAATAAATAGTCTTTTAATTAAAAGCATTTGTCCTGTTTCTAAGAAGTCCTTTGTGTTTTTCCTCCTCAGACGCTGTCTAAGGAAGAGGAATCGTAGAGTGCAGCTCTGCGGCGTTAACACATCTGCATTATTCTCAATGCTCTGATATATAAACCTTCTTTTTCTCAGTGGACATGGGCAGGAAAGCGTTCTCAGAACTGGAAAGGGCAGTTTTTAATTATGTGCTTTCTTTAAATGACTCAGTAGAGTTGTCTTTATCTTCCACACAGAGGTCAGAGGTGTGTTTTCACTACCTGAGGTCCAGCAATAAATCCTCTGATTACCGAGAACTGCATGAGTGTAAAACAGCTGAGTGACTGTAGTTTGTGTCGTAGTCTCACAGCTCCCTCAGATTTCTTCTTTTAGTTAGATTTCATTGTCTCTAATAACTTTATAAATTAACAGTAATTAAAGAACCTTTGAGAGATGTCGTACAGACATTTTGGTTTGTATGAAAGTGTGTAAAGTGTAACAGGAGATTTGTAAATATGTAAGTGAACAAACTGTGTGAAGCATCTTCTTTTGTGCAAATACATTTGTAACATTTTTCCGAACTGGGTGCTCGTGTTTATTTATGCGGAGAGTCCAGAAAAAGTTCCAGCTTTTTAAAATGCGGGAGCCTCTAAGAAAAGAAAAGTGTCGAATAAAAAGAATCCTGTTAGAGATTCAAGAAAAAGGATATAAATGAGATTTGTTTCCTTTAACCAGCACTGTTCCAGGGTTTTGTTTAATTTCAGAAATTTATAGACTCAAAAGTAAAAATATTACTTAATGAACTGAGTTTAAACATTTAGTCTGCAAATTCCACGGTCTGTTATTTATTTATGTAATTAGTTATGACTGTGTTCTTCATGCTTTTAATGTGTTATTTTAGTACTGAATGATACAGCGACCCCTAGGAGTCGACATTGCACGTAATGGCATCTTTCCCAACATTTCTTTTTCTCAAAAACTTTGAGAACTCTTGATTACAGTTCACAAATAACATAAACATTTAGGCGTTTGTCTAAAAGTGCCTGAATAACAAAATATCAGTGTTGAAAAGTTTTCTTTAAACTCAGAAATCTTCTGATTTACATTCATAGACAATTACCTGTGTTTGTCTTTTGTAAATAAAGTTTTTAAAAAACATGTCCGGGATAGACACCCATTACCGGAAGTTGGTGTATTTGACCTCCATAATAAAGGTGACACATTGTCTAGCAAAAAGGGCTACTAACTGTGATAAATGTGGGGACAAAAAACTTATATTAAAGGATATAAAATTTTTAAACATTTAAAAATAAAATTAACACTTTTGTGGGATGTACACCCCATACTGCTTTACTCTGTTCATTTTATTGTCATACAAACAGTAAATGCATTCATTTTTTTT